TTGATTTTTTTGTTAAACTACTGCTTATTTGGTATGAGCTTCCCCCAAGAAGTTCACCCTATCTGATCATTTCTCTTCCTTTTGAACCTAACACCACAGCTTTTTTTTAACTTAGAAGATACAGAAAAATTATAGGTTTTTTTTTTACAGTGGAAATTATAGGTTTTTACAATAGTGAAAAACAACTGTAAAATAAATTTTAGAGTCACTAATCCCAATTAAAATTCCCAAAAATCTGGTCTTGCAAGCTTTAAATAATCTTAATTTTTATGTGTACAGAATATTGTCTGGTATGTTTAGGTGGCAATAACAGGATGCCACACAGGTTGGGTAGTTTATAGCAGCAGAAGCTTAGTTCTTACGGTTTGGGAGGCTGGGAGACCCAAGGTGAAGATTTGGGTAGATTCGATGTCTAGGGAGGCACTTTTCAGGCTGTGTCCTCTCATGGTGGAAGGGGCAAGGGCTTTCTCTGGGCTCTCTGTTATAAGATCACTGATTCCTTTCACAAGGGTTCTGTTCTCATGACCCAGTCACCTCCCAAATGCCATCATTTTGGAGATTTCACTTCAACATAAATTGTAGAGACATAGCATTCAGACTCTGTGGGCATGTGAAATGTTGTCCTTTTAAGTTTAGACTCACTGGAACTAAAGCCAGGAACTTTAGAGGGAGTTCATTCAAGTAGTACAAAATAGATTTCAGAATCTCATAGTTAAAATCCTATAGTGCAGATCTGATACGTGTATGTGACAAAGTAGCTTTCCCCTGACTTGTCTTCTTTCATTAATGCCATATCCAAGCTACTTTTACATCCACCCACTGATTTATTAATTTCAGGTACTGTGTTTTTTCATTTCCACTGTTTCATTTGATTGTTCATTCTTTATAGATACCAATTTTATGTTGAAATACTTATTTAATCCATATTTCTTATCTTTTTCTCTGTTTTTTTAAACATTAAATTTTCATCACTTAAAATTTCTTTCTAGATCATTTGGAAATCTGCTCTCCTTGTTTATTAACTACATTTTTCTCTTCAAATCTTTCAATTGTCTAGTAATTGTTTCCTAAGTGCCAGACCATGTGTATAAAAGACTATAGAAGCTTCAGTTGATGTCATCTGTCAGGATGAGTTTCCACTTTAGTCTCTCAGCCAGAATGGGTTAGGGCCTGGTGGTTTTAATCTAGTGGGGATTTAACTGGACCAGTTTTGTAAGCTTTGGTTGACATCTAGTTTGTCCATTTTCCCCGGGGCTGTTGCCTGGGAACTTGGAGAATTGGCCCCCACATCTTACAGTGAGCTCAGAGGTGGCCCTCATGGTCATCTAGCAGTTGTGACTGCTTATGTGGGAAAGCAGGCTTCTTCGCTCTAGCTGGACTTTGTTTTCTAAACCTTTTGTGATTATGGAGGTTTTCACTCTGCCTTATGGAGCCTGACTGGTTCCCCAGGTCCCCAGCAGCTGTCCCAGAACTAAACTCAGTCTCAAATTTTGGGTTCTTCTCTTCACTCTGTCCCACCGGTCTTGGGTAACAGCTCAAACATGCTCTGTTTCTTTTATTTTCAGCAGAGTCCTTCTGTAGGGACTCTGCGTTCAGTGCATTAGAAAAGGCCCAGGCATTTTCAGGAGAACCCTCTTCATCTCCTTCCAGCCTAGAATTCATTGACTTCTTACTAATTCGGTAGCTCTGTGATGTCTTTAAGATTGGAGGGACGGTGGTGATGTCACTGACTATCCAGTTGTATTTAAATCCATGCCACAATCTAATACATCCTGTTTAAAAGTGGAAATACAATGTAAAATTACTATAATAACTTTCTGGAATGTTTTCCTCTAAAGGATTTTATCTCTTTACCCCTTAAAAGTATATGTATGTGTGTTTATTTTCTAAAGAACATTTGATTAAACATAGAAAGGCTTCACCCAAAGGAGACTGTAGATAACTGGAGATATTTTAATGACTTTTTTTTTTAAAGACTTATTTATTTCTTCGTACAGAACTGGGGTACAGGCCAGAGATGTGGAGGGTGAGAGGATTCACTAGAGATAGACCGGGGAGCAGAACAGGCAGATCGACGAAGTACACTGCTGAGGGGAGCAGCGGGCGGGTCAGGAGAGGTCTGCCA